ATGCAAAAACTTAGATTTACATTAAATAACTTGTGGCCGAGTTGACTTGTGGCCGAGTTGATTTGTGGCCGAGTTGACTTGTGGCCGAGTTGGCTGTAGCCGAACTTTTTGTTGCCGAGTTGATTTGTGGCCGAGTTGACTTGTGGCCGAGTTGACTTGTGGCCGAGTTGACCTGTGGCCGTGTTGACTCGTGGCCGAGTTGACCTGCACCTTTGTTATCGTACAATGTAAATGTGTCAGTATAGCCAAACCTAAGATAAAAGAGATTTCCTGTGTACTTTGGATTGGAGACAAAATACACCACCGTATATATATTCCATATAAAACAAATCCCAGGTGTTGTGAGAGCTAGCTTACTTCAATCTGGCTATCGATATTAAATGCACTGGAACAAAAAATAATAATAATAATACTAATGTTATATTTATTTATATAGCGCATATTGTACATTGCCCCTATGCGCTTTACAAGGAAATAATATAGGCCAACTGAGAAAAGGCAAATAACAATAAACTAATAACAATATTATAAAATAAAAATAATAATCATAAACAATATATAACAATGAGACTAACTACTCATTAATGGTTAAATAAATCAATTCCATATAGGTCAGGTTCATACGAGAGCTCTAGTATTCGGATCGGGAGCTGACCGTTAGTGCTAACTGTTAGCGCCCGTGTGTAAACACCTGATCAGTTAGCGCCAACCGTTACCATGATCCGGATACGCTAACGGTCATGGTGCCAGAATAAAAGCCCCGGTGGGGTTCAAGGGAAGAGTTATTAGGCCTGCTTCAGTATAGGGATTTGCAATCAAAATAAAGGTATTTGGATAGACAAATTTATATTTTTTGTTCAGCATCTTTGTTGTGACGTAGGACGAGGAGGTTCCAGGCTTGTCCGATGGGGGTATATTTTTCATTGTACGCAATGCTTTAGCCAGCTATTTGGACAGGTCGGACAGTCTCACACAATTTTTCTAATGGGTCCACAAAAAATTGATCATAATTATGGAATTTTATGCAATAAAATAAGTCCAGATTTTTCATATTTAGCCTAAAATGGGTAAAACTGTAACACAATGGGTCTAATGTTTCATATTTTTATGTAAAATGTGTCAACTTTTAAGAAAATGGGTCTAAATTATTTGAATTTACTTGTAAAGTGGGTCCACCCTGATTACTGTCCCGCACCGTTTGAAATTCCTGGCTGCGGCATTGATTGTATTTCAATGAATATTTTTTTCTGCCACCGCAGAATTTTTTTTTAAGTAGGCTTTTTTCTTTAACTAAATGTTTTTGTAAATTTCCCTAGAATTGAACAACATTGACTCGCTAAATTAACAACGTTTATAAGTTAGACTTTACAGACGTTCCAACCCCTAGACATAGTATTGTGCAAGTGAAGGGCACCCTCTTTCCCACCATTTAGTGAAAAACGCCCTCAACATCAAAACATTCTGATAGCATTTTGAGGTGTATACACGTAATTTATAAGATAGATTGGGTTTTTCATTCATGTGGCCTAGTAATTTCATCTATTTTACTCATCCCATGTTTTTACAGACCGTACGTTAAATAATGTGGTTGTACTGTAAGTACAACAAATCTAGTTTTTTTAATTTGGGAGAACTTAAACAAATTCGAGAGACCAGGAGATAGCATGTACATTTGGGAGACTTCCGATAGAATCAGGAGGGTTGCAACCTCCGTTTTTTTATTGTCTGCATATTTTTTTTGATGTAAAAAAAACTTTGTTTTCCAATTTATTCAATGTATCTTAATAACAACAATATCAAATGAATAAACTTATATTAAGTTTATTATAAATAAGTAAATGTTTTTTCATATTCTTCCTATTAATTCATATCTGAATGTTTCTGTCCCTGTAAATGCCAATAGCGAGAAGAATTTCTGTTTATAAATTGAGACAATAAAATTAGCTTCAACCTTATTGTCAATGTCAATAACTGTAAATGATTCTGTCCAATCAGAATTGATTGGAGACATGACTTCATTCTGGGAATTCCCAGAGTTTGGAGATAAAAAAAAAAATTGAATAGAGAAATTTTGATGAATTAAGTTGATAACAGCAGAGAGATATTGGCCAAATGTCAAGGGGGAAAGGGCTGATAATACAATGGTATAGTGTACTGTGGATTTTAACAGAGGGGTTCAAGAGAGGACCACTTGAGGAAGATTGGTTTTAAATGACCTTTCTCATTATTTTTGCTGTGTACAGTCACATTACTTGTCAAGCGTTACATCTTGAAAATATATCTGGTGGGTTCAGGGGCTGTCTCTTATACACATCTAGGCCTGGAAAAAATATTTTTGTGCCTCTGACCATGAAAATTGTATTGATCAAATGCCTCCAGCAACAAATTCCTCGGGGTAAAGGTAAATTCCTGCGACCGCCAATCACGCACTTTTTTCCAGTTGTGGGTTTCATCTGCAAATAATTTTTTTTTTTGCGTGTGTGATGATAACAAAAATTTTATCACAGTCTGAGAGCTATTTGTATCCTGAATTCTTACGTTTTTTTTTTTCTTGGACCAATCAGCAACAAATTTGGTTGGTTCGAACCAATTGAACACATACATACTTAACCCAAACAACCGTGTTCCGTGCGTGATGTGAACGCAACATTAAAAAAACATAGCAACTCACGATTTTTTTCCCGGCTCCGGACCGGATCCGGGCTTGATGTGAACGTAGCTTTTTGTCAGTGTCAGGCTGTGGGTTCGTCGGCTACTGGCTTACAGTTTATTCAAATTTACGGAGCTAGTGTGCATTTCCCTTGTATTTTGAAATTGTTTATATGTACACAATGCTTATCAACACACCGTTAATCAGCGATGTAAGATGATGCTGCTTAGAAACAATTGATAAACTGAACATTTACCAGTGAATTAATGGTAAACTTTGGCTTTCTGTTGGAATGGCTAGGCACAAAAACGTAGGCTCACATTTCCAAATCGTCATTTTTCTACTTTTTAAAAAGCGTACACATGCCTTCCACACCCTCCCCCAGCGTACGTTTTGTACACTTGTGAAAATGATGAAAATAATGGATGATACTGTGTACAGTATTCAAACTTCGTCTCTTCTTTTTGGATTTTTTTTGGAGGTTAAAAAAAAAAAAAAAATTAATACACACACACTGTATATTGATAAAAGTATAATACATACTCCAAGTATTGAAATACACGCCATCGTGTTGCGATTCAATATTTCAACATTAATTATGTCATCATCGTGTATTTCAATACTTGGAGTATGTATTATACTTTCTTATCTCAGATTAATCTGTGGACCTTTTGGTTTCTGTATATTGATCACTGAGTAATTGGTCACCACAACTGGCAAGTTTGATATTTGTTTCTTTGTTTTACTGTTTGTCCACAAATTACATAAGAAATCACATAATGTATGAATAAATTAAAGTTACTGAATTGTGTGGAAAATGACGAAAATACAGTAAGTTCAAGATGGTTGCCTTAAAATCAGAAAAGCAGTGTAATTTTTTGCCTGACTGATAAATCAATTATAGTCAAGTTATTTTGGACCATATTGAAGATAAAAGCCTTAGGAGCAATTATTATCTTCAAAAATTGCCTTCAGCCCTGCAAGCTTCAGGCATATTTCAGGGAATAGTGGCTCCTCTATTTTCTATATGCTCCTCAGAAATTGACTATAATTGCATAATAGAGCATACCAAAAGATTTTGTTGATTACCGGTAATAATACTGTACTGGTAAATGTCTGTAGTTAATTTAATCCATTCTTTGTGTAAAAAGTTCATTTTTTATTTGGGGAAAAACCTTGTACAAACCATACAAAAAAAAACCTACATTCTCCAAACACCTTGATAATTAAATTAAATTAAATTAAATTAATTTAATTAAATTAAAATTAATTTAATTAATTGTTCCGCAAGAACCTCAGTTCTGCAAGACTGCCGACCAAGTTTTCATGCCATTCCTCTCATCCTCACTGCTGTGGCTCAAAATGTATCTAGCTTTAGGGCATGGTTCTGACAACCGTATGGGTGTCCAGAGGGTCCAAGCCTTTGAGGGCAATGGGCAAATTTGGGCCATTTTAAACTGTTATGAGGCATTTTAAGGATTTACAATTACTGTGTCATGAGCAAAGAATAAAAAAAGAGAAAAGTAAGCTCACCCAATTATCGTTTGTTGACAAGTGGTAATTGAAAAAATGACTTTTGTAATGCAAGGAACCCGAAAGAACCAGAAGAAAGTTACTTTAAATTAAATATTATTTATGAAAAATTTAGGAATTCCTTGAATCAATGGATATATGAAAACTTTCTTCATTTATTTTAATTTTGTAGGACAATGGGGAAAAACAAGTGTAAGACAAAAGATTGTGAAAATAAAACTGAAAAGAGGAAGAAGTACTGCCCAGAATGTAGTGCGGCCAAAAAAGCAAAGCAAACCCAAGTTAAATGTTGGAAATGTAAGAATGTCCATCCAGGAATTGGACAATTTTGTCCACACTGTTGTGCGCCTGCCAGTGGCCCGGCAAATGAAGATGTGATGCCATCAACAGGTACATATATTGACCATTGTTATATATTTGAATAAAGCTGCATTAACATTCACACTGAATTTTTATGCACTAAACACTAGTATCCCTATTCACACTGACCTGGTTTTTTGGTATATTCAATAGGCTTTTCAATCCAAAAATTAGGATATGGTGTGAATCGTGTGAGTGTTTACCAACTGGAGTAGTTATTTAATGATTTTTGTTGTAGATTATGGGGATGAATGTAATTATGGCATATGTGTGCTTAATTTTAATTATAACATAAAAACTTAAATTTTACACCAAAAATACATACATTATTATCATAAGTTTTTCTTTCAGAATCTGATGTTATGTCCAAAGTGAAAAGATTTCCAACAGATGATGTTGCCACTCTTACACAACAGTTTGAAAGGGCAAAACTTGATACGTCTGCTTCAGGTGATGCCACTTCATCCACAGATAGCAACAGACCAGTTGAAGAACAGCCTGGAACCCTATCGGGGACTTCTAAAAATGAAGGTCATAAGACATTAAATCAGCAGTCAGCCAACAATATATCTGTCCAGTGCAGTTCAGGAGATAATAAAAGTGCTGCTACCTCAGAAAAGAGCAACAAACCGTCTGAAGAAGATCACAAGAAACCTGATGTATCGGGCAATTCAATGGAAGCAAACAGTACAAAGATAACAGAAAAGAGTCACCAGCCATCTGAGAATTCTGGAATAATACCAAATCCTGATTCAGTAGGTAGTGAACCTAAACCAGACAAAGATGTGACACCTGTAGTTGTGCGCAGTACCACAATAGCAGTTCCATCAGGAGGATGTGACATGCAAAATCAATCCAAGGAGAAAGTTGGAATGGTAAATTCGGCACCACCTGATGGTACTACTACTAACAGTGATGGCCCCTCAAAAAGTGAATCCGATTTTGATATTAAATTTGTTGATGAAAAGTATGGTGAGAATTATGGTGCAGGGTTGCCTCAACAAGGAGTAAAGGAACCTACTAAGAAGGGATCAGATACAGCAGAAAATGAAAGGCAAGAAAGTCAAGTATTTGGTCCTTCAGCACCTGATCCTAAATCAGTTGGTCATGCTTTTGGTACAAACCAGAAAAGTGCTGATAACGGTAATAAAAATACATCAAAAGATGGCATGTCACCCAGTGTTAACAACAAAACAACAGAGGATCATAATACACCATTAGAGACTTCTACCAATGGAGAACATAAAAATCAGCATTCAGCAAACAAGAATGGCCAATCTGATCAATGTGGTTCAGGCGATAATAAAAGTGCTGCTCCTGCAACAGGCACATGTGCTTCTACTGCAAAAGGCACACAAAATGAAAATGCAAGTTTAAAACAGAGTGATAATAACCAGACTAACACAGGTACAGAGGGATCGTCAGTGGACCATGTAAGTCAAGCTTTTTTCTTCTTGTATTATTCATAATTGCAGATACGTAAGGCCAAAAAAAGTGATTCCCACGCATATGATCAGCCCAGGTTCCAGGTCAGGTCATTACTATGAAAATAATCCGTTTAATCTGCTCATGGTGTGCCAAATCAAAATTGAATTTGGCATTCTACACTCTGTCATGAGCCACTACTAGCCTAAGTCTTTAAGGAATTCAATATTTTTATTGCCTCTAACTGTTTTTAAATTGTTATTACATGTTTTCTATTTTTTCACTGTCAGGATCCATTGAAAAACAAACCATCATATGCACAGGCCACAGGGTCACAACATTTAAAACCTGTAAGTGTTTAACTTAATTTTAATCAAAATAGTTGCTGTAGTATTATAGTGTACGTTTAATGTAAAATACCAATTATTTTATCATAGCCATCATGAAAAATATTTATTCACTGTAGAGTCCTAAATTTGCAATTTGAAGTTTTTTGGAATTTAACATTTTAAAGAAATTAAATTTTATATTAAACTCGCCGGTCCTACATATGGTAAGTATATCAATCTACAGTTGACTTGGGCTGAGTAGTAAGAGGCCGTTGGAAAGACCAATGATACATAGAAGAACATTAGGATTATTTCTCATTTTTATAGATACCTTTATTTCTTTACATAATTACATATTCTTGTGTTAATAAAGAACATTTATTTTAGTATTTTTTTGTGGGAAACACTACTTTGAAAAAGCATTTTTACTGTCTGTAGGTGCCTATATTAAAAATTTTCTGTATGTAACTTTGGTTTCCCCATTACATTGCTCATCTGGGCCCTTGAAAAATAGTACACAAACTCATTATTTGTATTCTTTTGCAGGGTGAAAGTGACAACAGACGAGATGGGGTAAAATTAGTAAAAGACGCTTTGAAAGACATCGCTGATTCAAATCAAAACAAGTACAGTATTGTTCTTAATTTTTTATTTAAATCTAAAAGAAATGTGTATGTATGTGATGTGTGTATATGTATTTTTATGTATGTATATATGGAATTCAAGCAATATGGGACTTAGTGGTTGTAGTCTGCTGTAGTCTTTTTTAATGTTCTTTTTTAATAATCTTATGTATATTATGTATGTGTGTATATCTGTGTATATGTATGTATCGCTGCTAATTGTTTTGTTTAAGCTGCAATTTTCTACATTCTTTAGCATCTTGTGAATATTTGTACTAAACACACTATAGTTCATAATCCCATTTAATCTAGTTTCTTTGTTGTATTCTTACTTTGACATCCGGGATAATGGGTAGGCTGTCTTTTTGAACACAAATGTTTGACATAACTATACATTGCATGTGAATTATTTTCTCCATCATGTTTGCAAAAAGCAAAGTAGTTTAAATATTAGAAAGTATCAAGTAAATAATGGAGTTATAATACTTGCTGAACTGTCAAAGCATGGGGGTTGCATGCTGTCTTTTCAAAGTGTCTTGTTTAAAACTACAGCACTGACTGTAATTGATCAAAGTGAGTATACCTGTCTGGCGTAGCTTGCTGGAACCTACAGACAGGTGGTGAATGGCAGCTTGGTGGCTTAGCAGGTTGTAGCGAATCCACTGAGAATTTCGGAAACAACAAGATCTAACATTGTGTGTGTGAACATACTCTAAACAGCTTAAATTTTTACACCTTTTTTGTGAAATTGAGATTATTGGAGCCTTTTAAAATGTAATTGATTTTGTAAATATTATATTTTTTGTAGGAATCCACGAATTCCAAAAGTACTGATAGATGGAGGTGCAAAAGAAAAAATGACAGTGTTTTTTCATGTGGTTGTGACTCCTGAGTTCCAATTCAACCAAAAGACTGACAAAATTGTCATGCGATTTAGTCCCATTTCCTTTGGAAACTTTCACTATGATGTTGTTGAGATGGATTATCTACGGTAAGAATTGGAATTTTGTTGATGGACCATGCAAAGTTGGCAGAAAAAGTAGTAACAACAATGAATATGAGGAAAAATTACATTTTGTAGTAGTTGTACTCTGTGTATGTATTATGTTTATTGTAGATTTTTGATCCCCTTTATTACAAGAATGCAGTAAAGTACTGTAATAGGATAAATGCAGGAATTTGCCATGTTTATTGAAATTATATGACCACAATTATCTGCAATTACCTTTCCTAAATTATTAAAAAATTTGAGCTGAATACAATCCACTAAATTAGTCACCAAAGCTGTTAGTTGTATTGATTATTTTTACAAGAGACCTGATATCATATTAAAGCACCATTCCTGGTAAAATTTCAGTTGTTAAGAAAAATCTGATTTTTGTATAATGTTATAAAGATTTATAAGTATAATATGGAATTGCTAGTTTAACTGAATTTAGAAATTCCTAATCATAAAAAAAATGTAAAAGAAGATTAAAATTTGATTTTTTTGTGTTCCACACAAGAAATAGATGCCGACGAATTTTTTTATGTTTGATTTAGCGCAAGATCTGCGAAGAAATATAGTAGGCGACGAAAACATTAGCCTATCCAACACTGCTAGGCTAGGCCTTACCTCGATTTAGGTTCTGTTATCACACATAAAAATGGCCAACATGATATTTTCCATTGCTAGTATTGACTCTTGTGAAATATAATATTTCACAGGAATTATTTCAAATTTGTTAAAAAACTGATTTTGACCGAGATATTGACACTTAAACATATCTCAGGCCTACTCGAAGGACCGCATTGTACAAAAACTAATTAACTAGAGAGGGCGCACTTTATTGACTGTATAAAGTATACATAAAAGTGAGAGTATTTAAGCGGATACAACCTCTGAATTTGCCTAGTAACGAAGAATTCGTCGAGAAAATGGTAATATTCTATGAGAAATAGTCTGTATTTCTCATTTTTTTAATTCTTTTGCGTAAAACTAAAATTTATGCCAATATTTTTCCATGATTTATTATAATTGGAGTATAATGCATATGCATCTTTTCTAAAAAAAGTCTGTTTTTAGTGAAATTTTGCCGGGAATGGGGCTTTAAGTTTGTACCTCACATATGGTGTGTAACCATGACACATCTTGTAAGTGACCACTTTACCTGGACCCGAGGATAAACACCAAAGTGCTTAAATAGGTGTTTATAATTTTTTTTTCTAGGAAAGAAAATGGATTTGTATTTATGGAAGGAAAGCTTCCAATAAAACCAAGTTACTTCTCAGATACAAACATCCAATATAAGTATATTTTGAAACGAAGTGGAGGAACAGGAAGCCCTTACTACAATTATGAGTGGATACACAAAGGACACAGTTCGAGTATAATGAACAGATTGTTGAAGATTCCAAAGGAAGCTCGCAAAGAACAAGGTTTTTGAATTAATATTCTATCCCAAATTTTAAAAATGTGTGACTCTTAACATTGACTATTTGTTGGACCTGTTCTCAACTTTTAACCTGTCCTTGGTATAAAGCAAGTTAATTGTTGTTGGTATGGGCAATAAGAGTAGGATATTTCAAAATGCACCTAATTGAATATTTATTATTTTATGACTTATTGGCATGATGTATTCAAGATTTTATAACAGCTATAAAAATACATCTTTCATTTACGGTCGATGACAGTTTCATCACATGAAAAATAAAAGATGAAATAATTAATAATAAAGAATAAGAAAAGATAAAAAAGGACTTCTGTATGTAATTAGTCCCACCATTTATTAACCAATTATAAATACAACAAAATAATTAAATATTAAGTAGCATGTATAAAGTATCTGAAACACTGAGTGTGTTTCTATACTGAAAATCAAAAAATACCCTTTTCATACTACCATTATTTTTGCAAAGAAAGATGTAAGATGTAGTAAGATGTTATAACCGGGTTTGTGTTCTGTGAAAGCAATTCATGTAAAACTTCCAAATTATCTCTAGAGACCCCTGTGATACAGTATCTCAGAAGAAATTCTTGTTCTTCTGAGATGTCCTGAGTTATTCAGTGCGCTGCGTTTGTACTGCTATCAGGCAATGAAAACAAAATAATGTTGCGCACACTAAGATTACCCTGGCCATCTAGGCCTAATGTTATCTCCCAAGATTTTGTATGGTTTGGATTACTGTCTGTGTGAAACAGGGACGTAGCCAGGATTTTGAAAGGGGGGGAGCCGTTATGGAAATTACATAGGACCCCGGCGGGGTCAAGGAGGCGAATCCCCCTGTCAAGTAGCGCACTCTGAACGTTCCTAGGACTGTTTGAGAGGATAAATTGAAAATTGCAATAGACACATTATAAATAAGCGCAAAAATAATTATATTATAAATCAACAGTGGCAGATCCAGGAATTCGAAAGAGAGGTGAACCAGAGAGGGACTTTCACAAACCGAGTAACCACCCACCTCAGCCCCACCATGGTTGGGGCTGAGGTAAGAAAATTTATTACTAGGGCATCTCTAGATGGCCGGAAATTACACTCTCGCACTTCAATTTGAATATATTTTTCTTCTTTATTTTTCCTTAAAAAATGAAGGGGGAGGGGGGCCTTAAATCCACCTCTGCTCAAAACATTCTTTATCCACTGCCAGAATAGTCATAATCACGAAAAATGGACATGAAAAACCAGATCACATCCTAAAAACAAACAGCAGTCACTAAGACATACATCAGGAGCCGACTCGATGGAGTTTAATGTCATACCCAGATGATCATTATCCCTGTCTCTTATACACATCTAGATAGTCGACACCCACCTCAGCCCCACAATGGTTGGAGCTGAGGTGAGAAAATAGTACCTCTAGATGGCCAGAAATGACACTTTTAGTAAAATTCATCATCATCACATCACCATTAGTCAAAATGAAGTGCTAAAAAAAATTCTCATGATCTTTTATCAGGGATCTTTGACAACCATAGAGATCTTATTAATGTGTGTGTGTATACCATAGAAAACAAAGCTTAAAAACATTGTCTTTGAGTATGTACGTTACATAGGCCTACTTCAAAAACGTGATTTCACAACCACCTCAGCCCCACCATGGCTAGGGCTGAGGTGAGAAAATTTGAGGAAATGGTACCTCTCGAGATGGCCGGAAATGACACTTTTACATAGTAAAATTCATCATCATCACATTACCATTATAGTCAAAATGAAACGCCAACAAATTTCTCATGATCTTTTATCAGGGATCTACTTAATATCCATGATAACTTAGGCCTAATTATAGCTTACTAAGCTTTAACTATATATACTATAGTATGATCAACAAATCGCAATTTTTTTTTTCGCATTT